GGCCCCCGTTTCACAAAGAATCTTAAATCCGTAGACGTCTTACTCGAGCTGGGTGGCCTAGCTAGGTCGACTTAGCTGAAGTCGACTTGGAGTGTTTCACAAAGAATCTAACGTCTTAGCTTGGCGTGCTTACCGTAGTCGACGCGCACGAGAAACTCTTCAAGAAAAGGAGGTGTAAAATTGCAAAAGTTTCACAAGACATGACGTTTCATGGCCTCTTTCGGCTGAGAACGATCGTTTATCAACAATAAAAGTCAGCCAAAACACAAACAAAGTTTGTTTTTGAACTTTATTGATTAGTTTAACTTCAATACAACTTCAAAGTAACAGTTAAACATTAGCTTGTCGTGGAACACTACTGAGGGACGTCTAGCGGTCAAAAACATAAACAAACACGCGATCGGCTGGGTAAAGTGGAATTTTATTTTTTATTTTAATATTCCATAAATGTCAGTGCTATTCAAGGATATTATAACACAATATCTTGAAGGAGGTATGTTCTTTCCAAATTTTTGTTGTTTATGCTCTCATTTACTGAGTTTTAGTTGAGCTTGCCGACTTAAGTCTCCTCCCGAGGAGGCTTGACATCGTCGACTTACAGCTAAGAAAAAAACGACGTAAGCGACCTTTTAGATTCTTTGTGAAACGGGACTTAGTGACGTAACGACTTAATTACGTTGGTAACCAAGCCCTAAGTCAGGGAAACCAACTTAAGTTTTTTTGTGAAACGGGGGCCTGGTTGGCAGTTACAGTCTTTACAAATGGCAGTTCTTCAGTAAGACTAGGGGCCAACACAGGCCAACAGAGGCCAACACTACCTGTAGCAGACCCTCCACCTGAACTTATATGCCTATAGGGGTTCTGTGTTTACTTGTGACTGGACTCGTTATTTCAAGTGTATTGCACTGTGTTGCGCTGTATTGTCCCTAGAGAACTGCATGTCATATTCATATCGCTGGTACATTGACTCTTGAAAAGAACCCCCCAATCAAAATACCTATTTGGATCTACAGGTAGCAAGGATTCAGAAAGTGTCACACAACTTACGTAAGCACAATCTTACCGTGGGTAACCTTATACAATTCAGGGTTTTGCTGCAGACAATGTAATGTCTGCAAAAGACTTTCCTTTTCTTTTTCAACCGCCAATGCTTGCTGCCTCAATCCCTCAACTCTAAGTTCCACTTCGTCAAGCACCGAAATGAAGCGTTCGTTGGGAGAATCGCTGCATTCTTCTGATATCTCCATATTGTTCTCGTGAACGATATCGTTTTCACCAATTGCCATTCATTACAACACTTATCTTGACGGAGCGTTGCTCTATAATTTCGTGGAACAGAAACCGGAAACAGCCATTAAGCGCTACCTATCGTTAATAGCAACACAAGACAAGACGGGTTTTAGTCATTTTCTTTCGCTCACCTGTTAGTGTATATTCTATAGCTTCGTAAAAAATAACGTTGATGAAATGATGGGATGCACTTAAACCGATTTTCCGCTCCATAAAATCTCAACGTAAGTGCTATACTCGGTGGATGCATGTACAGTCTCATACATCTACAGTAGGCTGGAGACGACGTCGCAGAACTTTGTTTTAATCATTACCGATTGATGTATTGTAAAAACATGTCATGAAATTCCTTTTTAGTTACTTGATGTAGATGTCGCTCTGGAAGTTTGTATTTACAGCCATTGTTAAAAGATGGCGCAGCGATCACCTACATATCTCGGACTCCGCTTCCAACCACTGACTTCCAACAATCCGTTTCAGTGGAGCAGTGTTCGACTGACCGTTGCATGGTTTAGAACTGTCACAAAACACTCTTGTTTTCTTAGCTTCTTATGTTTGAGCTGTGGCTTCAATTTTTAAATTATAATATAACGCTATTTATTACAAATTGCTTTCGATTATTTTGAAATGTGTAAAAAAATTCGAATTCAATCATATTGTGAATAATATGATTGAATTATTATTCAATCATATTGTGAATAATAGGCATACTTAAGACAAAAATTCAGCTGGATATAGATAAGTTGTTTTTCACGATGGATAGGAAGTTCGTGGGTGAGCAGAAAGCCATCTAGTTTTGTGATATAGTGCGTCTGGCAAATACAGGCGAGTCCCGCCCCACCAGATTTATAGGCTTACCCATTAAAATTGTATTTCCTCGGATTTTTTTGTCGTGAAATATTAAACATTTTATCATGCCTATTAGATATATCATAGCCTGAAAATAAACGTGCACACTTTCGATTGGACGCACGCAGTCACACACAAAACAACAAAAAATGTCATAATCACCAAACTCCATTTAAATATAAACCGATTTGACAAGAAGCGTAAACGATATTTTGAATCAGATGATTTTACCAACATTATTGAATAATATTAGGAGAGAATGGACAACTAAACAATTCACTTTGACTAACAGACGCAGCATATATTTAATAGCTTCTTAAATTCAGAATTTCAGTTTTTATACGGTGTTCTCTTTTGACATTTGAGCCTACTGACCCACAATCCTATTAGGTTTACCTTACTTAAGTAATTATTCTGTCTTGGTTTCATCCTAAGACTATTCAGGTTGAAATGTAATGTGCAATAATTAACTTCGCTGTTCAAGATGTTTGGAATTTCTTTTCTTCTTTTTCTTTTTTTCAAAAATTCTTGCTTTCATACCTTTTTATATGTATTTTTTAATGTATTTTCAGCAGCAATATAACATTTTTAGCTATCAATTAATTTATTGTTTAATTTATTAATTTCTGCTTATAACGCTCCAGTATTGTTTTACAAGAGATTGTATAGTAGGCCTACGTATCCCTTTGAAAAAATGACAGCATTTATTTTTCTAGGAGATCGGTGGCCTTATTTGGATATTGCTATGTTGGATGAAATCAGCATTACATTCCACTAATTAATATCATAGTAACAAGGACATTTTGTCGTTGATTTGTTCAACAAATTTCAGTTAATTTTTTTAGCAAACATTGCAATTTTTATCTAATATTTTAAATATTGTAATTACTGGAAGGATCAAGGCAGAAATGAGGGCGGATAAAATCTAATCACACTGATTTCAAGCAGCTAAAACGCACGTTTGAGCCCTATGAAAAATTTTCTCTTTGTACGAGTACTGAAAATATTTATGTTTTAAGATGTTGAAAGTACATGTTAAGCGAACCGATTTTGTTAGATCTACATAAGCATTGAAAGTGCTTTACATAACCAAGGTATTTTCCCCATGTAGGTCTAAGATTACGCTCTGCGTGACAGGCATGATAGTCTTTCAGCTGCTTGATATAAGGAAACCGCGAAGAAATCGCTTGTAATAAGCACGTTTTCATTCCAATTTGAATACGCGTGGTCTGCAATCCTGAATGAACCAAGCAATAATTAAATTGTCACTGAAACAGTCTACGGGAAGGAAGTGCGTCTAACCAGGTATCGTTTTTAATTGTGAAAGTTCAGTGTGATAATGTGGCTGTGGTTATCGTTTTGCTAAGAAATGACCGAGTAGCACCGATGAGTGAAACAGAACGCGTGTGCTCCAGTGATGTTTTTTATGCTGAATAGAGCATTTAACCTTATTGTTTTTCAAAAACAAAACACCAAATCCGCTATGTTCTGAAAATATGTTGTTGTGGTTCCACACAATTGAAAAAGCACGCTAATTTCATTTGCTAGATTGCATTAAGTCACGTTCCATAACTTTGACACATAGGCCTACGTTCCTGCAACGTTCTGAGGTAAAATGTTGTCGAAGTCAGATATTTCAATGGTGGTCTTTTCTTTTAAGACAGATAAAAGTTTTCTGCTCAGAAGTGGACATGTTCGTTTCTGTCATACATGTTGCGTGATAAAATTTGCATGTTGCATGCTCTTAAAATAAGGTGACCTTTGTTAAAAATAAATAAACTGATTGAACGGAACCTTTTAGAAGTGTATCATAACATTTTAAAAAATTGATTGCGACTTCTTTCAAGTAGACATCATCAGTCAACGGCATTTGAAGCTCGATATAGGTGCCGCCTACTCCAATTTCACCGTTAACGCACGTGTTCTTATTTTCCCGCTATAGATACCAGGGGAATTTCGTATTTTTTTTTTCAAAATATCTCGACCTTAGCTAAGGTCACACAGTCACCCAGTAGGTGTGTCGCCTCATATTTCTGTCATTCCTGTTCTTATCCACACGCAATTACTATTTTGTAATGTCAGTGATGCGAGATTTTTCTTCTTGAAACGACACGCAGAGTTCTGTTGGAAACAATACATTTGGTTTATGTGTTCCGAGGGGCCCACTGAATTCCTACACGTTTGCCCTATTGAATTCCAAATGCCCTTTACGTATTTTTCTTTTCTTTTTTTCAAAATTTTTTCAGGCTTTTGCCAAGTGTGTACTTTCATACAATTTTGCACACTGTATAAACTGCTTCATAGACATTCAGACTGTTACAAAAGAAAGTATAGAAAGATAAATGTAAATGAAATGCCATAAATATAAAGAATTCTTATGATTTTTTAATATTCATTAATTTAAACAATAATTAAAAAAATAAAAGAAAGAATAACATATTTGCAATATATGTTGCATACTAATAGAATAAAATTTATTAGCATGTTTTTCAACAATACAGCATGTGTCATTCTTTTTATCATGTCTTCAATCTGAGTAAACTACCGACAACAAATCTGATTAACAGTTACATCACAATTATCGATAGATTACTGTGATTGTGGCATTTGTTCCAAACTTCATCTCGAGACAAAAATAATTCTAACATTTATAATCGCATGTTATATTTCTTTGGCATTCCGTATATAGTCTACCACCACAAAAAAAAAAAAAAAAAAAAAAAAAAAAAAACAGTTTGAGAGAAACGAAACTCTTAATCATTCCCAACAAATTGCATGATCGCTTCTGAATGCAAGTAACTATCTTTTGTTCTGTTATCTTATTTGATCAAAATGTAAATTTGTTGGACTTGAACAGAAGATTGTCATTGCCTCATGAACCACAATTCTTATGTTGACGAAAAGCAAATGTTTTCATTATTTAGTGTTGGTATTCATTGACTATGATCTATGAAGAATAAAACTTCGACAACTTGTCGACATTTTCCTACGCCGGAGGTTTTAACAAAAACCCCACCCAGGAAGGCAATGTTACATGATCTACACCGTATATGCTTCGACACGTCTTACTCTACCCTCTACCAGGGCCACAGTTATTATTGTAGACATTTTTGACTGAGAGCCAAAATGACTGTCTATTTATCTATAGACATATCGGTGAATATCTGGAAAATCAACCTGTCGCTCTGGTAGAGGGTAGTCTTACTCTACCGTTACTCTAAAATACATCAAATTTTAAACTGATTTATCGTAAGATGATCTTTAGACAGGTGTGAAGTTGTAGACTATATGTTTAATTTACAGCCACATATCTGTGAAGAACACTTTCAAAGTCCAGATGCTGTTTAGTTACTAGACCTGTCTGAAGTACTATTGTGTTACGACTGACCAACTAAAAGAGGAACTCAAACACGAGAAAGAAGAGCAACATTGAGAGAAAGTGAGAGAAGAAAAGAAACTGAAAACTAGACATCGGAGATGGCTTACTAACAGACATTAAATAAAGTAGGGTGCCTGTATATTAAAAGGATGAAGAGGGTCATCGTGTTCACTGCTGTGGATAATACCCCTAACCCCACATGTTACGAAGCCCTTCTCGTGGCATCCATCCAGATCGTTTACTCAAGGTGTGTGCACGAGTAGTAACATGTTCGTTTGAAATCTCCTTATTCAAGGGACTGCTACCTGTTTCTGTATTAGTCTCATTGTCAACGCCATGATCGAAAACCTTTTCTTCAAACTCGTTCGACAATGTTTTAGTGTTTGGATTATTTCCAACTTCCGCCTTTATTAAACTGGTTAAATCTTTACCCCAAAGTTTCATGGAGTTCCACTTGTTAAAGGCATCTTCATAGTCATGCTGACTTTGGCCAGAATCACGTTTCCCCCATAATTTCATTGACCTCCAGCGTTTGGATGGATCAAAGCCAATTTTTGTGGCCCAAGGATTTTTGCCAATCCAACTTCTTTTGCCATCCTGTATCCAGGAGTCGCTTTTGGCAGAATCAAGATCACGCAGGCTATCTGAGGCTCGCTTTTTGCCCCATAACTTCATGCCGGAGTTCCACGGCCTCTTCACACCGCCGGCTGTGTTACTGACTAAATCAACATCATCGTCGACCATGTCACGTTTGCCCCACAGTTTTATGCCCCCGGACTTCCAAGACCTTTTGCTATCTACATCTATACTGTGCTTACGGTAAAGGTACGGGTAGTTGTTGCTCTCACTTTCATATCCTGACGAGTCTCTTTTTCCCCAAAGTTTCATCCCTTTGCCATTCCATGGTCGCTTTTCGTCGTTTTCGCTACGTTTTCCCCACAGTTTCATGCCTTTTGCGTTCCACCCTCTTTTTTCATTCAAGGCGTTATGTTGTACGCTGTCCCTTTTGCCCCAAAGTTTCATTTCTTTTGAGTTCCATTTGCGTTTGTTGCTAAGTTCATCAATTATTTCGCCATCCATGCGTTTACCCCAAACCTTCATACCGTTTGAGTTCCACTGGCGTTTTTCGTTGATGTCAGCCTCAACAGAATTATCACGCTTTCCCCATAGTTTCATGCTTTTCGAGCTCCATGGCCGTTTTTCATATTCTAGACCGTCTTTTTGTTCGTTGCGCTTCCCCCATAGCTTCATATTTTTTGAACTCCAAGAGCGTTTGTTGTTTTCTTCTTCATCTTGGTCCACATCTCGTTTTCCCCAAACTTTTAAACTTTTGGAGTTCCATGAACGCTTGTCATCTTCGCGCTTTCCCCAAAGCTTCATATTCTTTGAACTCCAACTCTTTTTATCGTGTTGATCATCGAAGGTGTTATCACGTTTCCCCCAAAGTTTCATGGCATTGCCGGACCATGAACGTTTCAGATCACGTTCTTTTTGTTTCCAATCCATATTTTCGCCTAGTTTTTTCAAATCGGCGTCTCGGCTTTCTTCCATTTCTTTATCAAACGGCCGTTTGCCCCACAGTTTCATGCCGCCAGATTTCCAACTGCGTATAACATTATTGGTTAATTGAAAGTCTGTTTTTTCCTTTGTTTTGTTGTTATCATCCGTTTTCTCCAGCGAACGTCTCCGAAGACGAAGTGCGTGTGGATCCTCCATATCTTCCGAATAAAAATATGGAGATCGTTTGCCCCACATTGTCATAGATTTACTCCACTGTCTTTTAAGAGGTTCGTTTCTCATGATGTTATTTTCAAGTTTGTTAAATAAGTACTCCAAACGTTTTAGACTTACAGCTTGTGATTGATATCGGTGAGAATTTTCTTCTTCTTGTGAATCGTTTGGTATCACTATGTCTTCTTCGATGTATCTTCCGTATGGCGCTTGGTCGAGGTTTTGTGCATCTCTAAGCATTTGAGAGTTGATCACACAGTGTACCAAAGGTGAACTTAAAACCATCAAAGTAAGGAAGAACGTTATTGTCAGGGAGTCAGCTGTAATGGCCGCCATGATGCCTGGTACTGAAATGAAAAGTAAAGAACAGCTTCAGTGAAACAGCACTTCAATTTAACAAGTAGAGGCATTCGAAACAGCATTAAGTACGTCGTTCAATGATGCTGAGTGGTAGCTCTACGGATCCTTAGAATACAATTACTTCTGGAGAGGTTTTTAGTAATTATAGGCTCTTGGCAAGAGCGCTAATTAAATTCATGATAGAGATGATACTTCTTCAATGTTAATCGGGACAAACAATGAAATCACACATAGTGTAGTATTGCTCCACGCCGTTCTCTAGATATTGATAACTCTTTCACCGCTGGTATCCAACTGATACATTATTT